GTGCATGCCTAAAATCCCAAGAGGAGAATGGAGCAGAAGGGATTGTGGTGTGGTCATCCCCCCCGGGGGGTGATTTCTTATTTTCTGTCTCTGTCTCTCCAGTGAGGGCACATGCCCCATAGCAAAAATCTCGCTTAAAAAGAAATGCTACAACATGGGCCAGCAGGTGGTATAGCGGTTGGGGTGCTGGACTCCTACATGGCCAACTGTGGTTTGAGTTCTGGATCCAGTGGCTTGAAACTCATGCAAGCCACGTGTTTGTGCATGCCCAAAATCCCAAGAGGAGAAAGGATTGTAGTGTGGTCATTCTGCACCAACCCCCACTTCCCTCGCCCCCGGGAGGTAATCTCTGACTTTCTCTCTCTTTGTCTCTCTGGTGAGTGCATGCGGCCTAGAGCAAAAATCTCTCTTAAAAAAAGAAAGAGGGAACCAGCAGTTAGCATAATGGCTATGTCTCTGGACTCCCACGTGGTCAACCGCGGTTCTCGTCCTGGACCCAGTGGCTTAAAACTCACGCCGGGCGCATGTGTGTGCGTGCCCAAGATCCCGAGAGGAGAATGGAGGAGAAGGGATTGCAGCGTGAATATCCCCCCGGGGGGTGATTTCTTGCTTTCTGTCTCTGTCTCTCTCTGTCTGGTGAGCGCACGTGCCCTATAGCGAAAAACCTCCCCCCCCCCAAAAAAAAGGAAGAAAGAGAGAAAGGAGAAATACTTCATTAAAAATACAGTACAAAAGATGTAAAGAAAATAGGCTGGCAGGTGGCATGGTGGTTTAAAGGCACTGGGTTCCCACATGACCAACTACAGTTCAAGTCCCGGACGGGCCAGCTTGCTTTCTCCCTTTCTCTGTTCTGTCTCTGGTCAAATAAAAAAATAATAATAAATGGAAATAAATAAAGAAATAATTCTTTTTAAAAAATTAGAAAGAAAATGGTACACCAGTGTAGAATACTTACCATGAGTGGGGCTTGCAGAACTGGAAATTGCTCTGGGTGGGTCACTGAGTGAGTGGTGGATAAATGCGAGGCCTGGAATATTACTGTACACTACTGTAGACTTTATAAACAGTGCACACTTAGGCTGCACTTCATTCATAGAAAATATGTTTCTCCAATGAATTCACCTTAGCTTACGGTAACTTTTTTTTTTTTTTTGAAGAGGTTTTCACTATAGGGCGCGTGTGCTCGCCAGACAGACAGAGAGAGACATAGAGACAGAAAGTGAGAAATCACCCCCCAGGGGGGATGGTCACGCCACAATCCCTTCTCCTCCATTCTCCTCTCGGGATCTTGGGCATGCACGCACACGCGCCCAGCGTGAGTTTTAAACCACCGGGTCCGGGACGCAAACTGCGGTTGACTATGTGGGCGTCCAGAGACATAGCCATTACGCTAACTGCTGGTTCCCAGCTTACTGTAACTTTTATACTTTACACATTTTTAAATTTTTAAAATATGTTGCTAGTTTTGCAGTAGCACTTAGCTTAAAACACAACGTTGTACATCTGTACAAAAATAGGTTTTCCTTATATTCCTATATCCTGTAAGCTTTTTTTTTTTTAATTAAAAATTGTTTTTAACTTTTGTGTTAAAAACTAAGAGGCACACATTAGCCTGGGCCTACACAGGGTGGGATCATCCATAGCACTGTCTTCCAACTGCACGTCTTGTCTTAGCCATGATGAATAAAACACGAGACTAAATCAAGTACAGGAGAAAATGTTGTGGTCAAAAGCTGCAGTCAGCCCGAGGTGTGTGAGGCTGTGGCGAGCTACTGCCGGTTAGACAGCATATAGTTTTACAGTAAAGTTACGTACAAGGAGGAGGACTAGACTCTAATGCTAAAATGCATGGTGTAAATACATAAACCGTGACACGTTTGTTACCATTTTCAGCCATTATGTGCTGTGGGTAATTGCGTGTGCTATACTTCTACACAGCGGGCCACGTGGTGAGTTTGTTTGCACCAACATCGCTGCAGATGCATGAGAAATGTGTCACGTGGTAGGATGTCACTAGGTGGTGGCGATTTTTTAGCTGCATTATAATCTTAAGAGACCACCTTTGTATATGCAGTCTCTTGTCGATCAAAACATCTTTATGTGGCTCATGACTATATTAAAAAGATTTGAAAATATGAGGAGTAGTATCACTCTTCCCATTACATTTTGTTTTAGAAATTTTTTACCTTTTACAGGTTTTTTTTCCCTTTCCTTTTTTTTTTTCTTTAGGGAACATGCCCTCACTAGAGAGGGGACAGAGGGGCGGGAAAGTGAGAAATCACCCCCCAAGGGGAGGTGCCCACCCCACAGTTTATTCTCCTTCATTCTTGAGATTCTGGGCATGTACGTGCATGCCTCTGGCGTGTTTTTCAAGCCGCTGGGTCTGGAACTCAAACTGAGAAATTGGCCATGTGAGACCCAGCCACCTTAACCATCATGCCACTGGCTGGCTCTGTTTTCGAAACTTAAAAAAAAAAAAAAAAAAATATATATATATATATATATTTATTTGTTGTGATTTTCAAGCGCCAGGCCCAGGACTCAAACCTTGGCCAGCCATTGGGAATCTAGCACCTTTACCACCACTGCTGGCCCCTATTTTAGAAATTTTTAATGAAAATATTGTTAACCTGTTAGTCAATTTTTATGAAGTTCATTGGTAAATATTTTTGAATATCTGTCTGAATTTCTAATATAGCAAGTAGTGATATTGGGTTGTTAGAAAAATCATGACCTATTTTTCTGTGTGTTTCTATGCAAAAATGTATCATGGTTTTTCTAGCAACCCAATAGATAGGGCCCAGACCACACACAAGTTCCTTGGAATCTTTGGTAATTTCAGAGTAGAAAGGAGTCCTGAGGTCCAAAAAGTGTCTGAAACACCTTAGCATTTCATTCCAAGGTCGCAGTTGTATGCTGCTGGTGGAGCGCAAGGTATGCCTTTGAGGTCTCTTGGTTTGAGACGTCTAGTTCTCAAAGGAGAATTTGCATTACTTCACAGAGTTGGTAAAATTTATATTCTTTCGGGTGAAATGTCTACAGATCCCTTTCTAACAGTCACCCGTTACCATGGGTGATACTCAACACATAAAAATAAGCCAGGTGCCTTGCATTATGGGGAGATACATACCTCTTTCTCCACCTGACGGACCAGAAACCTCAATGAAGAGTAGAGATCGTGCATTTGTATTTCATTTGCTTAATTCTTCCACATTTTATCTTTTTTTAAGGCTTATTAATCCTTGAGAGAGAGGAGAGATGCCCCCAGCTGAGTTTCCCATTCTATATCCACCTCCATTCTCAGCTGGCCCAGATCTTGGGGTGCACACATGTGCAAGTGCCCAGCATACTCAGGAGGCCCCTGTGATGTGAACCCTGAGCCTTCTGTGGGTCCAGTTGCATTGCCACTGTGCCACTACCCATCCCTCCCCCTCTTATCTTTAATATGGTTTCTCATCAGTACTCTAAGTCTGCAGGCTGAAACAAAGGAACAGTGAGAGGACTTGGCTGGCCCCTACTGGATGTGAGCATTCCTTGGTGGATGCGTTGTTGGCCCCACAGCTCACTGATGTTTTCCGTCTGGGTCCAGTAGCCGCATGGCCACGACTCGCAGCCTTTCAGCTCTCATCACTGCGCGAAGACCTGAGCACTGCAAGGCACTTGTCTTCATTCACGTTAGCGCTTCTCTTCCTGGAACTTGAAATATCAGAGGCAATAGGAGACGTGCAAATTCTGTCTTATAGTCACAGATGACAGACACTCCGATTAGCTAGAACACGTTTTTGTGCCGGTTGTTCTAAACAGTCGGTTGTGAAATTGTGGAAGGATCAAAACAGTTCTCTCAGTTTGGGAACAGTGGGGTTATCATCTTTGTACACGAAAGACAATATCATTGTGAAATTACTACTTCCTGGTTTTTATATGCCTAGTGTTAGATTATAACATTTAAATAGTGGCTTTTGGCCCAATTGGGGAAGGGGTTTCTTCAAATGTGTTACTGTTTCTAATCTAAAAGCACTTATTGGCCTAGTTGAACTCTCTAAATAAGAAAACTATTTGTCTATTAGCCTCCTTAATCCAAGAAAATAGACGTATTTAAACATTGTAATGGTTGGAAATCTTCTAATTTGGGGTTTAAAAATGTCTCAGATGAAAATAACCCTTAGAGACTACAGTGTAAGAGTAAGCAACCCTCCACCCTGCCCACTCCTCACCCAAAGAACAGAGAGACTCTTAGGGCTTTTGCATCTGAATATAAATTACTATCACACCAGATGGAAGCCCGTGGGAATGTTACGGGCCCTTTAGTTAATGTATAGGATTGCTTCTTTATACATGGGCCGCCACCCACAGTCTACCAAAGGCTACAGACTAGTGCAGGCTCCTGGCCTGGTCTCACCTTCACCCCTGGCAGTGATGGGTGGGGGAGCAAGCGAGGCTTCGTCTGTGTTTGCAGCCACTCTCCTTTGCTCGCAGTGCTGCCCAGGCTCCGCCTCCCATCAGAGCAATGGCAGTATGAGATTGTCATGGGACCATGAACCCTAGAGTGTGATTGTTTCATATTGCAGTGTGCAAAAAGTGGTGGAAATGGGATGCACGGTGGATGTGGTGCATTTGGGCCATCCTGGGACCCACCCCGCCTTTTCCCTGTCTGGGAAGGAATTATCTTCCACAACGCCATTCCCTGGGTGTCAGGAAGGTCGGGGACTGCTCCTTCTACTACTTTTAAGTATAATCTGTCCCAATTAATATGTGTCATTCTCAAACTTGACTCCGTACTGCCATTAAATAATGGTGGTGCTTCAGTAAAGGCCGTTTTATTCTGAGAATCAGCCGAGAGCACAGTACACAGACTGTGTGTGTGTCAGTCCGTGCAGAGCCTCCTTCTGCGGGAATGGTGTTTGCTCAGGCTGCGTATGGTCACGATCATGAACGTGAGATGGAGCTTGCTCACAGCGGTTGTCTGTAACGTCTCTCCTTGCCCTTCTCCTTGACCACAGGGAAGTACAGAAAGCAGTCAACACTGCCCAGGGACTGTTCCAGAGATGGACGGAGCTCCTCCAGGACCCCTCCACAGCCACAAGGGAGGAAATCGACTGGACCACCAACGAGCTGAGGAACAACCTCCGGAGCATAGAGTGGGATCTGGAGGACCTTGACGAAACCATCAATATCCTTTTCTGTGGTGTCTGTGCCATTGAAGGGGAACAGACAAATGGACAAGTTGTTTTTTGTTTTGGTTTTGGTTTTGGTTTTTTTTTTGGCTTTTCGTTTAGACAGGATCTCACTATATCTTGATTCTCCTGCCTCAGCCTCCCAAGTATGTGGGACCTCAGGTGGGTGTCTGGCTTTCGGGTGGACCAGGAGTAGAACCTGGGCCTTCCATGTGGTCTCAGCCTGCCTCTAATAGTGTCAGCCAGCATAGCTACCACGTCTGAGCCGAGATGCCTCAAGTACGGAGACGAGACACTTCCTTTTATAACGGATTGACGTTGTTCTTACTTATACCACAACGCATTGAATGTTGCCCAGCGAGCTAAGGTAGAGTAGCCAAATTCTCTGCAGTGTGTGACAGATCCCACTGTGCAGAGGCAGCATGGTACAGTGGCTATTACTTTGGGCCCTGGAGGCAGATGCAGCTGTTCGAGTCCTGGCTCTACAAGTAAAGGGGAAAAACAAGCCGTTGTCTATCTGCTCTGACACGCAGTACAGTATTTCTGAGAGTAGATGTGGGGCGGGGTGGGGTCCCCCACACACCAAGCAGTTTTCCAATAGGCATTAGCTTGGTGTTCTGCAGTGCAGTCCTCATACTGTCTAGCTAGAGGTAGCACGAGATCTTCCAGATCGAGGGCTCAGTCATAAAAGACGGCACCCACTGCTGATGCCAATCACAAGCCCTGGGTCGTGACCTGTGCTTCCCGCCTGTCGGCTGTAAGCCAGAGTTCCCACAGCCCCCTCCTCAGGTTCTGTGAGTTAGCTAGAATGGAAATATTTTTCCTAGGTTTACCCATTTATTATAAAGGATACCACAAAGGATACAGGTGAAGAGATGCCGAGGGCAAGGTATGGGAGAAGGAGCATGGAGCTTCCAAACTCTTTCTGGAAGCACCATCTTCTGGAAACTTCCATGTGTTCAGCTATCCTTAAACTCTGCGAACCCATCCTTTTGGGTTTAATGGGTTTATGGCAAGTCTGTTAGTAGTCCTGACAGATGACATCATTGGCCATTGCTAATCAACTCCATGGGGGGGGGCTGAATGTTCCATCCCTCTGATTGCACTATTGGTCCCTCCTGGCAACAGCCCCATCCTGAGGCTATGCAGGAGCCCCCAGCCATCAGTCATTTCATTAAGATACAAAAAGGCACTTACATGCTTGTGGTAAGTGTTAGCAGTCATTATTACACAAGCGCTATACACAGACCAGGGGCATACACTGGTAATTAGAGAGCAAAAGCAAGTGGTCTCTTTCTTGTCTAAGACGTGATGTTAAATGTCACTGTCCTTTGAAGAGGCCTCTTACACCATAGAACTGCATTTCGGAAAAGCAGCTCTATGATGCTAATTCATGCTGCTGGTGTTACGTACACCCATTGATCATACTGAGGAGCTGGAGAACTGTGAAGGCTGAATTGTATGGCCTTTTAAAACTGGAAACCCCACATAACCGAAGCTATTGCAGGAAGATAGGCCACGTCCATGTTCTGAGTTCTGTTTTGTCTTGTCCCTGCGTGAGATAAAACTTCAAGGAAACCAGTGTCCGTGAGGAGCACAGGTTCTTATGTAGTTAATATGTAGAATACATAATTTATAGTATTCATTATGACCCCAGGTACCTTTCAAGTTACTAAAAGGCAAGTATATTTCCCTAAAACTAGTAAAATAAAATATGTGAGGGGGCAGGATCAAAAGCACAGTTAAAGGAAGGTACTTCTTCCTTTGAAATAGCAGGGAAGGAGAAAAGGTTGGGGGACAGAGTGAAATTGTGAGATAAAGAGGGCAAGAGTTTTAATAGGGATTTATCGCCATTCAGCAAATGTTAGTCCTGAGTGGTTGTGCAGGGCATGTTGTCGGTTACTGAGATTGGATTAATAGGCAGAACCATACCAGGCCTCACGGAACTTAGGCAAGCCTGGGTCGGTAGTGATAATAAGACAAATACATACTTGCCGGCTACGAGAGAGAGGTACAGAGAGCCATGTAGTGCCTGGCACGTGGGACCGAGCTAGGGGTGGGTGCAGCTGCCCTGAAGAAGGTTTGCTCTCTCTAGAAAGCAGGGTTAGTGTATTGACATATAAAAATAGTTTAGGGAACCAGCAGATGGTGGCATGGTTACGTTGCTGGACTCTCACATAGCTGGCTGCTGTTCAAGTCCCGGACTCAGAGACTTGAAACTCACACCAGGTACATGTGCATGCATGCCCCAAATCCTGAGAAGCGACTAGAGGAGAAAAGATTGCAGCATGGCCACCCCCCTCTCTCCCCCTGAGGGAGGGAGATGATTTCTCACTTTCTGTCTCTCTGGCAAGCTTACACATTCTATAGCAAAAATCTCTCTCTCTCAAAAAAAAGTTTAGAATGGCAGTTGAAAAGGGATTGTGAAGGCGATTATGGGTAAAAGTGATCAAACGTCAAAAAAGGATAGATCCAGGGGAGGGCAGTTGTCAGGAAGAGCCCAGCCAGCTGTGGTCAGACAGCCATGGATTTGTGGTACATCTGATCAGCAGGGGCTGTGCTTCTTAACCTGGCAGGTCATCTCTGTCTTAGGGCAGAGAGTTCCTTATGTAGCTGGGAGCAGAGAAAGTTCCAGAATGATTAGTATCAAATTGACTATGTTTTCAGAAAGTTTGGGCCAGATTTTATTCCCGGCATGTGAGAGAGTCTGTGGTTTAATAGGATGGTAGGCCTTTGATGATGAAATTGCTTTACCTTGACTTTTTGACCCACGCATAGTTGAAGCAAATCCTAGAAAGTTCAACCTCGATGCAACTGAACTGAGCATAAGAAAAGCCTTCATTACAAGCACTCGGCAAGTTGTCAGGGTAAGGAAAACGATCTCGTGTTGTCTGTGTAGGATATGGCCAAACTTCTTAGATTTCTTTCCCTCAATTGTAAGCTAATAGGCCAACTCTGGAACCACTGCTTAGTAACAAGTAAATGCCAATTTTCTGCATATAATTTCTGATTAAAAAAAAAAGAAAACGTATTGCCAGACTTATTTCTCAGAGCAAAAATGAGACAGTAAACTGCTGTCTTTGGGACAGTAACTTTAATTGTATTGTTGTCCTTCTCTGTACTTTTTGTTTCTCCAAACCAATTATCTCTTTTACTTTTTAATTTGTAAGCATACTCTGTTCCTGGACAAAAGGAAGAGTTGTTATTGTAGAAACCATTTGGTTTCTTGATTGATCGGTAATCACTTTGCATTGCTGAGGAGTGACTCTTCCGGGTTTGGATAGCAGCCTCTCCCATCTGAATTGCTTCTGGGACTCCTACAACCTGTGTTCTTGACATTTCCATATACAACTCTTGGATAGCCTTTCAGACATTACCCAGAGGAAGCTAGCGTCTATCAGAGTGTGAAAAAGTGATTCAAGGGAACAAATCTTTAGTCCCAGGCTATTTAGAATCAATGGTATTCATTATTAAAGCCTCTCAGTGAAGATATTATTTAAGTGAAATGCCGTGTCATTAGGATGTGTTTTGTATTTGGAAACTACACGGCCACGCCATTTGATTAGCATATCTGGATGGAAGAGAACCAGCTGTCTTTAACATATGTACTAGAAAGCAGCTTCCTCGAATAAAAGGACTTGGGATCATACCAGTGCTAACATATGGCTTTTTAGGAGTCATCCTAGGCAGGAACCTTGGTACGTATTTGCCAAAGACTTTATGTCATGTGATTTCCTTTCAAAGTTATTTCAAATGGTAGATTATCACTGAAATTTTTATTTTCTTGTTTCTTGTATTAGTCAGTAGTTGCCTTTCTATGTATACGTCTGAGTTTCTAAATAAACCCACATGTTAATGAGGCAGCAACTGCCCTGAACCTCGGGTACTTCATCTATACAATGAATGCTTGGATCAGACACAATTTCTAGCCAATTCAAAATGTTCCTCTGGAGCCTAGCCCATGGCCTAGTGGTAGTGTGCTGCTCAAGGGGAGCTGGGTCCCACATGGTGACTAGTTCAGGTTCCCAGGTTGGTCAGCCTGTAACACACTAAGCCTCTGTGAAAGTGCCCAACGCCCTTGGGCTAGATGACTAGAGGAAGGGGTTTATGACACAACCAGACCCTGTGGAGGGTGCTCTTCTCTCCACCCTCACTCTCAGGTGCTCTATAGTGGAAAAAAGAAAAAAAATGAATAAGGAAAAAAAAATGTTGTTGGGGCCAGCAGGTGGCGTGGTTGTTAAGGCACTGGACTCGCACACATTGGACCATGGTTTGAGTCTGGAGTCCTGCAGATCGTGCTGAGTGCATGTGTGTGCATCTCCAAAATCCCAGGAGAACAGAAGAGAAGGGACTGTGGCGTGGCCATCCCCCTGGAGGGCTGATTTCACACTTTCCCTCTCACTGTCTCTCTCCAATGACCTTATATTCTGTTGCAAAAATCTTAAAAAAAAAAAAAAAAAAAAAAAAGCTGTTCTGATAGGGAAGCTCTTGTTAGGTGATACATTTTTTGTAAGATAAATGTAGTCTGCTCTTTTTTTGGGTAGTAGTTTCTAAAGTACACTCCTGTAGGTGCTAATTTTTAAGTAGCATCTTGCAGTGAAGCATGTGTTCTTGACCTTAATCATTATATTTGTTCTTTCTGCAAGGTGGTACTTGTGAATTTTGCACATTGAAATTCCAAGGTCAATATACGAAAAGTTACATTAGTTGGTAAAAATAGAAGTAGAATTCAAAGTTCATTTTCTAATATCTGGAAAGCTTTTTAAAGGGCATTCATAGATAGAGGTATTCTTTTTTTAGAGAGAGATTTTTGTTATAGGGTGCATGCACTTGTCAGAGAGACAGAGAGACAAAAAGTGAGAAATTACCCCCTCAGTGGGGATGGCCACATTGTAATCCCTTCTCCTCCATTCCTCCCCCCGGGATTTTGGGTACACACACACATGACATGAGTTTTAAGCCACCGGGTCCAGGACTTGAACCTTCGTCAACTGCATGGGAGTCAAGCTACATAACCATTATGCCATCTACTAGTCCCTAGATAGAGGTATTCTAAATCAAGTCAGTACTTCTAGATGTCGCTGCCCTTCTAGAGCTGAGATCTAACCCTTCCTAACTCAGCTGCATGATCCAGCTGAATCTTTCAGGGTTAAAATGTTTAATATATGACCCTTTTTTGGGAACCTGTATTTGTCAGTTGTGGGCTGACACTACCTAACTTGAGTTTTTGCTAATTTTATTTATTTATTTATTTAACAAATTACTTACTTTATTTATTATTGTCGCTGATATTTGTAATTTGTTATAGGGCACATGCACTTTTCAGAGACGGAAAGTGAGAAAGCAAGCCACTAGGCCTGGGACTTGAACCGTGGTTGGCCATATGGGAGTTCAGCACCTTAACCAACATGCCACCTGCTGGTCCCCACTAGTGGTTAGCCATGTGGGAGTCCAGGGCCTTAACCACTGTGCCACCTGCTGGTCCTGCTAATCTGATGTTAATAAATTCTAATTGAAAATCCTGGAGAAGAGGAGAACATAACAGTGAAGCTAAACTTGATTAGAAAGAAAAAGGAGAAAACATATTGTGTTGATTTGGTGTGAATGTATTCAGCTCACCATTGTTCGTATTCAGAGCTCTCTGGATGCTGAGTGGAAGATACTGATGGGGGGGGCGGGAATCAGGAATTAGCAGATTTGGGAAATGAGACAAAACCAAGTTCAGATTAGGAATTTTTTTTTTTTAAGAATTATTTAACTGTATGTATGTATGTGTGTATGTGTGTATGTATGTACATACATACATACATACCAGAAAGGGAACGAGCTTGGGGGGCGGTGAGAAAGCAAGCCGCTAGGCTTGGGTGTGGAACCATAGTTGGCCATGTGGGAGTCCAGTGACCTCAACCCCCATGCAATCTGTGGGCACCCAGATTAGGAATTTTTACATCACAGGTTTATCTGTTACCTTTATCAGTGGGCTTTTTTCTTAATGTCATTCCCGAATTTTTATCGGTGCTGTTTTTAAAACAATGTGTGCCGATTGTGTTTTCTCCTTAGTTAAGAGTCAATGACACTGTGTTTTGTTTTGTTTTGCTTTGTTCTTGCTTCTACCTGAAGAAGCAAACCTTTCTTCTGTGTTGCTACCTGATTAATGTCAGTTGGTTATGCCTTTAATAAACCTCCCTGTTTACAGTCCTGTGTATCTTTTTCTAAGCATCTTTTAAGTTGTGCAGTTTCTGTTAAGTTTTACTGTCAATTTTTACTGAGAAAAGGAAATCTAGTCTTTGTGTAGCTAGCTTTGCTATTTTTGAGGCAATTGTTTTTACATGTGTGGAGCCATGTGGACGTCGGCAATCTCACGTGTGAACTGTATGTGGCTGGATTCCTCTCGTAGTAGAAGGCTTTGCTGTACATAGCTCAGGGCAGAGGCAGGGTGTCAGGCAGCCGGAGTTCTGGGCTGGCTGTGACCTTAGTGAAGGTCAATCACACAGGTTACTCGGCCTCTCTGGATCTCAGTTTTATCAGTGAAGCGATCCTCATTCTTATTTTCTGACTCAGAATCAGAGTTACACCTCCCCACTCCACCACCTCCCTGAAAACAAACAAACAAACACTGCACCTGTTCCAACCTCAGAACTGATTATAAGTCAGTAGAAACAGCTTTGGTTAATCAAAGGAGTAGAGCAGCGTGTCTGGGGTGTGCACAAATGACCGTGAGATGTGAGATCCACAGGTGCAGAGTGCGGAGATTTATGACGTCTGAGACATTCGTTCAGCTCGGGAGACCGCGTGAAATGGGGACAGGAGCATCCGTAACCAGGACATTTGTTCATCTGGCAGATGAACTGTATCTTATTGGGTCTAACTGCTTCTAAACTTCATGTGTTAGAAAGAAAATGAGTGATTATGTTTCTGGTATGATAGGTTGTCACAAAATGTTTACAACTGTTTATAACATCGCTTAAAATTTCAAATCCTGATACGAAGGTGTTGGGTTACTTTTAACCCCACTAGATAAAGTGCCATGTTAGAAGTCCAAGCACAGCTCTTCCTGTGCTGTCTTGGCCACATCCAGGATGCTCACTACACAGCCGCTGAAGAAGTCACCCCCATATGGGCACGTGCACACACACGCTTACACTCACACGTTCACTTCATATGTTCTTTTATTAAGCAGAAATTGTTAATAACTGAAACTTGTAGATACATATTTCAGGCCAACCCTGTAGCCTAATGGTTAATGGAGCCAGATCTGACATGGCCAACTGTGGTTTGAATTCCAGCCAAGTAGCTTGAAAAACATACTGGGTGTGTGTGCATGTCTGTGTCCAAAATCCAAGAGAATGGAGAAATAGACAAGAAGGAATTGCAGGGTGACCACACCCTGTTGGGGGATGCTTTCTCCCTCTGTCTCTTTTTGGTGAGTGCACACACCCTCTGTGTTATTGAAAAAAAGATGAGGAGAAGTGTACGTACCCTAATTTTCCAGCTCGGTGATTTTATAACCTGAACACACCCATGTATGCAGAGGCCAGAAGCATCTCAGAGCATTGGCAGCACCCCCAGAAGCCTCTCTGTGCTCTTCTGCAGTCATCGCCTCCACCCTCACTAACAGAAAGACACGCGTTCAGCATTCGAAGGTTAACACGTCACTTTTTCCATACATGTGTTGATATGTTTATTATGCAAGTAATGTGTTTTTTAAAAGATTATTGTAAGATGCAGTAAGTGCTAAAGGTTTTATTATCCTCATAGTGAATATTTTAGATACTACTCTGTGCAGTGAGGTATATATATTAAATAAGTGAGATTGTTGTTTTAATATCAGAATATCATCTTAACATCTTTTTTGGTTAAATTTTTTCCTTTTATTTCTTGAGAATGAGAGAGAGAAAGACAAGCACCCTCAACAGGGTCCCACACGGTGACACCACCACCACCACCCCAGTTCCTCCTAACAGCCAGGATCACAGGCACACACACATGTCATATACAGGTGACCTGGGAACCAAACCACTGATCTCCATATGGATCTAACCTCACTCGAGCAGTGCATTACTGCTGCGCCACTGAGCAAGTCCTAATGTCTGAGAGATCATTAGAAAAAGGAATCCTGTCATCCGGGAGATGTTGGCATAGGGTCTCACTTTGAGGCATCTGGAATTTGTGTAGACCAAAGCTTCTCAAATTTCAGACCTAGGCATGCAGGAGGACTTGTTGAAACGTACCACAAAGAACCTGACTTAGTAGGCCTGGGTGGAGCCCCAGGGACTGCATTTTTCACAACACCTCAGGTGACTGACTCGAGTAAATCCTCTGGATGTGAACTCCAGACGGGCGAGGCCTGACTTGTGTCAGTCCCTGCTGTATGCCTGGCCCTCCTTAGACACCAGTATTTGCTCTGTGAATGAATGAGTACTTGGAAAGTTGAAGCAAGGTGGTGGTTATTTAGACTTGCTACATAGGAATTGTAAAAGCTGGGGCACTGCCTGATCCACCATTCACTTTGTCATGGATTTTGGATGAAGTTTCTGAAAGTATAATACCTTAGCATTTGTTTCTATGAAATTATCCACTTACTAACAGAAAATTGGGACGTAATTTGACAGACTTTCTCGATTTTTGCCATAGGGCATATGTGCTCGGTGGAGAGAGACAGAGAAGGGAAGTGAGAAATCACCCGTAGAGGGGATGGCCATGTTGCAACCCTTCTCTTCTGTTCTTCTAACGGTATTTTAGGCACACATGCACATGGGCCTGGCATCATTTTCAAGCCACCTGGTTTAGGACTCAAACCATGCAGTTGGCCATGTGGGACCCAACCACCTTAACCTCCATACTACCTGCTGGTTTAACCTTCCCCCCCACCCAAGAAAATTATAGTACAGTCATTATGTACTTAGTTCAAATCATTTTATAGTGTATTAAGTTGTGGTTAAACATGATAAGCACAATGACTCATATTTATTAAAGTGTTTCACTTCAGATTAAGTCATGGGCCCATTTATTTTGCTTTCTGTACAAAATTATTTTTGATACTACTCTGGAAATTCACTTTGGTATGAGACATATTCTACAGCTTGCGTGAATCCAACTCCCAAATAAAATAAGTGATTGTCATACCACTATTCCAAAGTATCCTGCTTAATGGTAAATATGGCCTAAACTAAAGTGCATGGTTTTTAAGATGTGTTGTACAAAGACGCGAGCACTTGAGCACAGCCCTTTGTGTGCGTGCTCAGGGGTGTCATTTGAGAGAAAGGGTCATGGTCTTACTGGACCTGGGTCTCCTCAGCGATAAAGTAAAGGTTAACACCAGCTCCACGGGGCTGTTGTGAAAATGCACAATGGTTTAAGTGTTTAGCACTATTTCTGGCCTGTGGTAGGTACCCAGTAACTGTTAGTTCCTTTCCTGTCTTCCCATTTAAATTTAGTATCCAGGTGACCATGTTTGCTGGAGAGAGATGATGAGAGGAGAAAGAGAAAAATCACCTCCCGGGGTGTAATCACTTCTTCATTCTCCTGGGATCTGGGACACACACACACACACACACACACACACACACACACACACGTGCTCATGCAAATTTCAAGTCACCAGGTCTGGGTCTTTAACTGTGGTCGGCCATTTGAGAGTCTAGCACCTTAACCATTACACCACCTGCAGGCTCCAGGTGACCTCGTTTTTTTTTTTTTTTTTTTTTTTTTTTTTCTTTTTTTTTTGGGTTTTTTTTATAGCCTTTTTTTTTTTTTTTTTTTTTTTTTTCCTTATTTTGTAGGTTTTTGTCATAGGGCACATGCGCTCACTGGGAAGAGACAGAGAAAATGAAAGTGAGATATCACCCCCTGGAGAGGATGGCACGCTGCTATCCCTTCTTCTTCATTCTTTCAGAATTTGGAGAACATGTGCCTAGAGTGATTTTCAACTGCAGGGTCTAGCATTGTAACTCCGGAGTAGGCCATGTGGGATCTAGAACCTTAACCACTGTGCTACCTGCTGGCCCCAGGTTACCCCTTTTTAAGGAAACATTTTTTTCTTGATTTCCTTTTATTCCCCTTGTTTTATTTAATTTAATTTAATTTATTTATTTATTTTTGTATAGGTTTTCACCTTAGGGTGCATGTGCCAGAGACAGAGACAGTGAGAGAAAATGAGAAATCAACATCCAGGAGGAATGGTCATCCCACAGTCCCTTCTCCTCTATTCCCCTCCCAGGATCCGGGCATGCACATACACTCACCTGGAGTAAGTTTCAGGCCACTGAGTCTGGGACTCAAACCATGGTCAGCCATGTGGGAGTCCAGCGATGTAACCACTACACCATCTGGTGGCCCCGTGTTTTCCTTGTTTTTGAGACTGTAAAAAAAAGCCAAAGAATGCTTCTTTTTGTCTTTTAAAAAAAGGTAACAAGTAACGTGTATTCTGTTAATGTGTGCGGTACTAACCGTGATTTTGTTTAATCTGAGGGTATTGTTCATTTGTTTTCTGGTCTTTTTGTCTCACTAGGACATGAAGGATCAGATGTCAACTTCATCTGTGCAGGCATTAGCTGAAAGGAAAAACAGACAGGTGAGAAAACGTCAGAATATTACTATCAGTCAGAGAAGAAACAATTAGATGTCTGGAATTAAAGGGTGCTGACCATCCGTGTATCGTGTGATCAAGCAGAAGACCTGTGTGTGCTGGCCCTGGAGGATGCTGGGAGGTTTTGTGAAAGTCGGGGTAGCTTGCCCTCTCTCCCCCCACCCCTCACCTGTCCTCTCGTCCTCTCCTTGGGACTCTTCCGAGCTCCTATGGCACCTCTGTGTCCCTTTAGTGTAGCTCTCTTCACAGATCACTTGATACTCATGGGTGTTGTCCTGTGTGTCAGGCTTTCTGCGAGGGATGTAACTTTCAGCTCTCTTTCCACTGCCGGACCCCAAAGCCCCTTGGGAATGAGAGGGGATTGTGTTGTAGTCAGTTTTTTGTCTGATTTTTTTTTTTTAAATCTATCACTTACTGCATTGCCTACCCAAAGGACTCATTAGACATTTAATTATTCAAATTTGATGTCTAGATCTTTGAGGAACCTTAAAGTGTGTGTTAAATGAAATCTCTTTTAAGTAGTTTTTAGAAATTATGCACTTTGTTGTGTCTTAGAAACTCCTTTCTAATGGTTAAAATAGTCCTTTTTAAAAAATACAAAAGTCAGTAGAATTTTATTGAGAATGTCAATTGAGGTTTGGTTTAGAGTCATCCTGTGGAATAGAATGTATTTTGCCTAGTGCTAAAAATTGTTAGGTGATTTGTTTTTGACAGAAATGTTTTTTTATGAATTTGTATGTAACTTTTGCTTAGGAGTGAGAACTATCACAAAGACTCGATGGAAATGCCATTGCTTGCTTTAAATAACTTAGCTTCCTTCACCTCATTCTATTCCGATTCCAGGGAGTCACTGGCAGTCCAGTTCGGAGCCTCCTCACTTGAGAGATCAGCTCACTGTTTCTAACTAGGAGCCAGCAGTTCAGAACAGAAATCCATATCTTCTATCAGTGGGGGTTTGCCAAGCCACTTAATTTTGAAGACCTGTCTTATAAAAGTTTGAGGAAGGAGAGAGTTAAACAAATACCCCTAATCCTTTCTCTGGATTTCACAGTTCAAGTCATTGGGGTTTTTCTTCGTTTTTCTCACCTACTTCCCTTGCTCTGGTTTGGGACTCTACAGCTGGGAAGGCCATTAGCCAGCTCATTCCATGTGACTCTAACTCTTGAAGGAAGCTAGTGACCGGCCCAGGCTGGCTGATTTGGAGTTCCCTGTTCCTTTGCACTTGAGCTGATAGCAAGTGGAGTGACAGGACCCGAAGTAGTTGTGACCGTGAGGCAGGTGACCTCTGTCTTTTATTACTCTTAACATGAGCATTTCATTCTGTAGATAGTCCACTCGAGCTAGTGTAAGTAAAATGGGTACCTGTTCGTGGCCTGTCCCCCAGGTATGCCTTCGAGTTTTGTTTTAGGCCATGTGTGAAGTGTCCTAGCGTCAGTTTTCAAGGAACAGTAGGGCCAGGTTTTCTGAGCACTCGGGTGGGTGGAGCTAGCCTTGCTGCCTCATGCCAGGTCCCAGGAGCCATGTGCCCCCACTTCACCGGCACGTCCCGCGCTGGCACCCACACACGGGCTCATCGTCCAGTGCTCGGCCCTCTCCAGGTTCTTTCCCATCAGGGCAGACTCCTAGGGTCAGACCGATGAACTCTAAGCTACTCTCCAGTGCAGCCTTGGTGGCCCTGACGGCACACCTTCCCACCTAGTGTAGACCTTGTGTAACTTGGAAAGAGAGCCCTGAGTGCAGCCCCCGCAGTACCCCTGGTGGTTCTCAGTTCTCTATCCACGGCATAATCAGCCCCCATGGCCTTCCTACTCTGAAGAAATTGTCACTTGGCCCCCGTGTCCTCCACAGAGGTCCTTAAGAGTCTTTGGTTCAGAGTGAGCAGGTTCTTTTCATTGAGTGCCTCTGACCAGGTCGAGGCAGAGCCACCTGATGAGAGCCTTGGGTCTGTGTCACACAGAGATGGTCACCATCCTGCCTCCTGACTGGAGGCTCTCCTACGAAGAGCTCTGAGGACTGAGCATTTAGGAGCACTTCTGATGCCTCCCTTAGAACTTGGCGCTCCAGGTCCTGAGTGCCCCGGTCCTGTCCCCGTATGACGGAATCCCCTCGGAAAGTCAGGGAGGGGGCACTGCAGGCATGGAGGCAGGGCTGGGGCTTTTGGAGAGGCTTCCAGACAGAGAACCAAATGACCAGTCAGGCTTTTAGCAGTGCCAAAGGTAAATGTCCCTGGTAAGAAGAGTTGGTGACCCTCCAAGGACAAGGACCCTCGGTCATTGGCATCTTCCAGTCTTCCCGGGGCGGGGCTGGTGTGAGCGATTACTTTGACTATTCAGAAAGTCTAGTGGTGACCCTGGTCACAACCAGCTACCAAGATTCGTTCTTTCCTGGCCGGCCTTTGTGTAAGGAAGACATCTCCAAATGCATCCCTTTCTGGCTGCAGGCCACAAGCTTCCTTGGATTAATTCTTGGAAGACCTGACCTGGTGTGTGGGAGCCCAGGTGGAAGACTCCGACTCAGGCAGCACCCCCTGGGCAGTCAGTGTCAGCCACCCCGTGGGCTTCCCTGCACAGCGAGGCGGCCTCAGTTACCACCAGGGGCCTGTAGCCTTTGTAGCCTTGTCCGACTGAAGGGCATCTGTTTTTATTCATTTAACAGACCTCAATGTTCCTGTGCCTCTGAGCAGGTGTGACTGCGACTTTCTGTTGCCTTCTAGGGAACTCTCCCCCTCTCCCCCAGAGCCCCCCACGCTTCCCTGAGTCGTACCTACATTAAAAGGACTGTAGCTCTCTGGGACTGGTGGGTCTTTGGTCAAGTCCCAAGGTGCCAGGAGATCTGGTCTAAGATGGACTGAGTGCATTTACGTGGCCAAGGGCCATATGGTGGTGTCCATCGATGTGACGGACATCTGCTTGCACTTTCAGGGGCAAAGCCCATTTCTGAGGCCCTTGGTGGGGAGTGAAGACCGAGAGCCCTTCCTGGCATTTCTTAAATTGTAGCACACTGACACCACCACCAGCCTGGCCCAGGGGAGGAGGAGGGCGTGAGAAGCGGGAGAGAGCTTTAGGTCAGAGATGTAACTGTGCTGACTCTTGTCCCCGTGCACAGGCACTGCTGGGTGACAGCGGCAGCCAGAACTGGAGCACCGGGACAGCAGATAAATACGGGCGCCTCGACCGCGAGCTCCAGTTAGCCAACTCCCATTTCATCGAGGAGCAGCAAGCGCAGCAGCAGGTACCGCCAAACCAGCCGGCTGAGGGCCCAGGCAGGGCGGTGGGATACCTCCCCCCGCCCCTCTGCCAGCCATGGGCTTTGGTGGCTTAGTGACAAGCAGGCTGACCGGGGTTCATCCTGCGGTCGACTGTGTGTAAGAGTCTAATGACTGTGTACAAGAAGGGTGTCAGAACTCAGGAGATACCTTTCTGGGGCGCCCGGCCCAGGTAGGGCCCTGGGGGCAGCAGAACAGACAACTGACGACCAGGCCATTGATTTTTAAATATGAAAACAAAACTTGGCACCAGCAAATGGCATAATGGTTACGTCGCTGGAACGCTGTTCGGGTCCTGACCTAGCAGCTTGAAACTCATGCCAGGCATGTGCGTGTGTGCCCAAAATCCCAGAGGAGATTGGAGGAGAAGGAATTGTGGCGTAGCCATTGCTTTCTGTCTCTGTCTCTCCAGCAAGTACACATGCCCTATAGCTAAAAATAAATAAATAAAAATTAAAATTAAAAAAAAAGGAAGGAAGGAAGGCAAAACTTCTTCCCCAGCTCCATCTGTGTACACTCGGTTTCTTGGTTCATTTCACCAAAGGCACTTCCAGAAAGATGGAGTCTTTGTTTTTAATTGAAAATAAAAAGTTTGCATTATATATAAAAATCAACGGCTCTGACGGAGGCTCAGGGTGGAAGGAAAGTAGAGTCGGTTGTGTCTGTTGGTGCGCTCCATGTGTAGCTACCTCACTAAAAGGCTGACGATACTGTCCCTAGGACTGTGAGGCCCATCCACCACTCAGTCGCTGGTTCTTACACATGGTGTTTACCGTGCGAGTGTAGATCGTGTGTTCTCACATGTCTGCCTCACCGGCTTTCTGCTTAGTTACCGACCTAGCAGAGTTCCACAGACAGGGAGGAGGCTGCGGCACAATTAAAAGTAACTGTGTGTCTGTCAGTAGCTGTCCTTGAGGAGGGAGGAGACTGCCCAGTGTTCCCGCGCCCGGAGATCTGCCAGGCTCTCTCGTCTTTAGCCTGCGCCAGGCTGTGGGTTGAGCCCTTGATCTCGACTGTGGGCTTCCTTTTCCCAAGCCCTCCCTTCCCAAGCCCTCAGGGGTCACCTGCACCTGCGCTTTCAGCCATTGTCTGTTCTCTTCTTGGCCTCCAGCCGACCAGAGTAACTCTCCTGGCGGTTTCAAGCCCCGCTGACTGTTCACAAACTGGGTCAGCAGGAGGTCTCAGCCTGACAGTCCAGCCTTTGAGCAGTGTGTTCTCAGAGGCGACGGTCTGGTCCTTTGATTTCTGGGCTTTGCTTCTGAATGTGAATTGTCCCAAGTTGGCACAGAAGCTAGCAGCTGCTTGAGTGCTGGGCTTGGAACCAGGTAAGATGGGTTTTAATTGCTTATTTCCCGTTTCCCTGGCACCAGCTGATCGTGGAGCAGCAGGATGAGCAGTTGGAGCTGGTCTCTGGCAGCATCGGGGTACTGAAGAACATGTCCCAGCGCATCGGTGGGGAGCTGGAGGAGCAGGCAGTGTGAGTACCCAGGTGCCCCGAGGTGCCCCTTGCTGTAGTGAAATGGAGGGGAAAAACCACCCTGGGAGGCCCCTAAAAGCCTGGCAGTTACAAGGCCAGTAAAACCAAAAGCCGTTTTATTCATAGCTGCATGTCAATTCTGTTTTAGAGAATAGTCTACAGAGAAGCCCATCTTTATGTTATAAAATCGCAGACAGGGTTTAGCAGTTTCTACTATTTTTTAACATCTCCAAAAACAGATACAAATGTCTTCTAGCAGACACACCAAGTATGGTTATGAGTGGGGACAGGAAGCAGGTAAGACTCCATCACCCCCAGGCATTTTTGTTCCTCGGGATAGAGCGTGAGCTAACTTAGCTTTATCGTCCGCTAACTCTCCTTCCACATTGAACAGACCTTTATGCTTGGCATCTGAAATTGTGGAAAACTTATACATTTAATTCTGATTAGCAAAAGAATTTCCTCTAAAAAAATACAAACAAGAAAATGTAACTTCAGTTTGCTTTTCCTTAAGAATAGACATACTCTTATGATGCCCTGAAGTATCATAGCAAAACCAGCATAAATGTTTCCACATGATACGTTCACCATTTTATGTTTTCTTTTTAAACAGTCCACTAGGATATTTCAGCAATTCTTCTATGTCAATCTTTTCTTTTCTTTTTTTTTTTTTTGAGAGATTTTTTTGCTATAGGGCACGTGCGCTCACCAGACAGAGAGACAGAGAGACAGAAAGCGAGAATTCACCCCTCAGGGAGGATGGCCATGCCGCAATCCCTTCTCCTCCATTCTCCTCTTGGGATCTTGGGCACACACGCACACGCGCCCTGTGTGAGTTTAAGCCACCGGGTCTAGGACGTGAACTGCGGTTGACTACATGGGAGTCCAGCGACATAGCCATTATGCTAACTGCTGGTCCCCAATCTTTTTTTTTTTTTAAGAGAGATTTTTGGCTATAAGGCATGTGCACTCGCCAGAGAGACAGAAAGTGAGAAATCACCCCCCAAAGGGGATGGCCACACCATAGTACTTGTCCTCCATTCTCCTCTCAGGACCTTGGGCACACACACACATGCACCCTGCATGAGTTTTAAGCCACTGGGCCCGGGGCTCAAACCGCAGTCAGCTACGTGGGAGTCCAATAATGTGACTATTATGCCATCTACTGGCACACCTATATCAATCTTGCATTCACTGTTCATTATAAGTTCTCACCAGGCGTCCTCTGGGCAGCCCTCGGGAAGCAGGAGCAAGCAGATAGACCGTCCTGGCATCCATAGAGGTTGCTCCTACCGGGTTTAGCGGACACTGAAAGTGAAGGCAGCCCATGGAGTGAGGGAGTGGGAGGGCCTCTGAGATGGGCCTGAAGTCCCTGACACAGCAGGGCGGCTGAAACCCAGAGGAGTGTAGAGAATAGCCCAGTGAAGGAGGTGTGAGGGGGTTGTATGCCGGGGGAAGAGCGAGCTACTGTGAGGATCTGGAAGGGCCGGAGTGTGTGGAACACAGAGGTTGTACATGCCTTGATCCAGAGGCCAGAGGGGAGTGGTAGAGGGCTGGGCAAGGAGGCAGGGAGGCCAGGGAGGCCAGGCAGCATGCAAGGCAGTGGGGAAGCCCGGGAAAGTTGCTGGGAAGGCTGATGGAATGATTAGGCATCTTGACTCAGACATTCCAGAGTGGAGCCAGCTGGGGAGACGAGGCAGGAATTGCAGCAGCAGAAATCTGGACTCATGTTGAATTTCTATCCATGGGCTTTGACCCTGACCTTCCAGTTTGGGATGGAAAGGGACTAGTGACCTGAGGTAGTTCATTCGAGGGCAGTTGGTAACAGAGCCCGAGAGACTTTCGGTTAATGATGGTAATGTGCCACTGGGCCCGGGGCTCAAACCGCAGTCAGCTACGTGGGAGTCCAATAATGTGACTATTATGCCATCTACTGGCACACCTATATCAATCTTGCATTCACTGTTCATTATAAGTTCTCACCAGGCGTCCTCTGGGCAGCCCTCGGGAAGCAGGAGCAAGCAGATAGACCGTCCTGGCATCCATAGAGGTTGCTCCTACCGGGTTTAGCGGACACTGAAAGTGAAGGCAGCCCATGGAGTGAGGGAGTGGGAGGGCCTCTGAGATGGGCCTGAAGTCCCTGACACAGCAGGGCGGCTGAAACCCAGAGGAGTGTAGAGAATAGCCCAGTGAAGGAGGTGTGAGGGGGTTGTATGCCGGGGGAAGAGCGAGCTACTGTGAGGATCTGGAAGGGCCGGAGTGTGTGGAACACAGAGGTTGTACATGCCTTGATCCAGAGGCCAGAGGGGAGTGGTAGAGGGCTGGGCAAGGAGGCAGGGAGGCCAGGGAGGCCAGGCAGCATGCAAGGCAGTGGGGAAGCCCGGGAAAGTTGCTGGGAAGGCTGATGGAATGATTAGGCATCTTGACTCAGACATTCCAGAGTGGAGCCAGCTGGGGAGACGAGGCAGGAATTGCAGCAGCAGAAATCTGGACTCATGTTGAATTTCTATCCATGGGCTTTGACCCTGACCTTCCAGTTTGGGATGGAAAGGGACTAGTGACCTGAGGTAGTTCATTCGAGGGCAGTTGGTAACAGAGCCCGAGAGACTTTCGGTTAATGATGGTAATGTGAACACACCCTTATCTCTGCTCCGTCTCTGAAAAAGGCGTAAAGCCTGTGGACCGGGCACGGAGTACGAAATGATGGCTGTGCCGTCTTAGACCCTGGAAAGTGGACAGACGACTGGTTTCAGACTCAACAGACCGGGAAAGCAGCACCCGCAACCAGCCGTAGAGAACGCCAAGCTGCCAAGCCACACAGTGTGGCTCACAGCAGACCTTCTTAGCTGGCACCTCGCTGCAGTGGTGCCAGCAGGAGGTCACTGCCATGCAGCAGCAGAGACCACATGGAAGCCTGGGTTCAGTTCCCAGCCCCACCTAAACAGCCGGGGTGCTGTGGTCCTAGCTAACTGGGAGGTTGCGGTGGAGGATTGTGACCCTGTCAAAAATACCTTTCTCTCTCCCCCCTGCAGCTTGCTCTCTCTTGCTTCTTTCCTCATAAGAAACAAAAACAAAACCAGAGCCCTCAGCAGTGAATAGATTGATACTGTCATAATGTAAACACTGAATATTGATCTCATAAAACTATAACCCGCTGTATCAGAAGGAAGGGGGTGTGGGAAGGATGCTGGTGGGGAATAGGAGAAGAGGGTCAAATCCTGGTCTCCCCAGAGCTGAGTCAGTCCAGGAAAGTCTTCACGGCGAAAGGCAGGATGGCCCGCTACCGAGTGTGGGCTCCAAGCAGGGACAGACCCTGAGTGGACAGTGAGCAGGGGACGGGCTTGCCTCTCGAGGGAGCAGGAAACCACTCCGCCTTTTCATAAAAGGCTTTGTTAGGACTATTCGTGTGTTTTGTTTGTTTGTTTGTTTGTTTGCTTGTTTTTCAGCTGGGGATGTTTCTAACTGGTAAAAAAAAGAAGTAAATTAAAAGGGAAAACCACGGGTTTTGGTCCGAGGCCCGTGACGTCTGCTGTGCTAGCCATGAGCCTCCTGCCGCAGTCGAGTGAGGGCAGCGTGGCCAGGCCAAAGTGCTCGCTGGGTTTTGAGGCTTTCATATTAGTAATATTTCTGTGTGGTGCAGTGTTAGCGTTTTGGATTTATGGAGCTAAAGAAAATATACTACTGCAGTTAATTCACTTGGGGAAAAAAAAATCTCACCTGTTTCTTTTATTTATTTTTTAATTGCGAGAGGGCATGTGCATGACAGAGAGAGAGAGAGAACCTCCCAGAGTGGCATGATCACACCATAGCCCTTTCTCCTCCATTTTCCATCCTGTCAGGATTTGGGATACGTGCGCACACACACACCCCCAAGTTTGTTTTTCAAGCCTCCAGGCCTGGTATTCTAACTGCAGTCAGCCATGTGGGATCTAGCTCCCTTAACCACTAGGCTACAGAGCCAGTCTGTTTGTTTATTTACTTTTTGAGCAAGAGGAGAGAAAGGCAGATATTTTCAATAAGTCCTCTCCAGATGGCGACCCTCCCACCCCACTTCTCAGTTAGCCAGGTCCTTAGGCACGCGCTGCCAGGCCCAGCCCGGTTAGATTGGTCCATGGTCTGGACTTGCACCACGTGGCTTCAACCACTGCACGGCGGCACCCTTCTCCTTTCACCGGAGAGGCTGGGCCATCTTTTTGTAGATCTTTTTAATGTGCCTATTAGAAAATGTAAAATGGCAGGTGGGATTCTCATAGTAGTTCTGTTGGACAATGCTGAGTTAGATCCGGCTAGAAGCTCGGTTGGTGGGTGTCCTTAGGCTGAAAGTCAAATGACATGCCAGCTTTGTCTTCAGTAGGAAAAGCCATGTCCAGCACACAAAGGTGGCCTTGTTTTTCCAAGTTTGTCCCTCTCTGGGTAAGCCTGCCAGCTGCAGGGCCGAGCTGCTGCCAGGATCTAAGATCAGCTAAAAAATGTTTTTATTTGAAAATTCAGGTAAGGGAAAAAGACTGACTTATTTAATTGTCAACATGGAGTTTATTTAATTGACTTCACAAAGAGTAGGTTGCCCGAATCCCATGGGGCTGTCAGGTGTCCTGTGTGGGCAGACCAGAACCAACGGTTTCTAGCTGCCCTCGACGCTGTCAGGTTGGTAAAGGCCTTGTAGTGAGACCCTTGGTACTGACGGGCTTGTTGTGTTGTAGCCACAGAGTCACCGTGGACCAATCAGCAGTTGAAAGGGCTGGACTGGGTAGTAATATAGGATGTAAGCACTGCGGGAAGAAGGGTATTTGGGGGTTGCTTTTCCCAGTCACACATCGGGCAGCCTTTAGAGTTAACTGCTGGGGCCAGTCCTCCAAGTGGGGACACTGGCTTCTCTGTGTGTGTGGGAGTAGCGCTACACACACGCACGCATGCGCACATACATGTATGCACCCATTCACCCCGAAGGTGGTTGGTCCTAAGGCCTCCAGATTTATGGTAAAGTGTGTAGTGCTTTTGAGAAGCCCATCACTGAAGTACATTCCTTAGTGCAGATTGACGTGACATGGTTTTGTACATTACATGGTTCTCACCAGCCCCGAGGGAAGCTGGCCTGGTGGGATCGCCCCATCCTACAGGTGAGGAACAGCCCCAGAGAGCTGTGGGTGGCTTGTCCAAGGTAGGATGGTGCCAGGTGGAAAGGCCTGCTGTCGGACTGCAGGGCATCATCTCCCAGTGCCCCGCCACAGAGCCGGGTCCACACCGCCCTGTCTGCAGTTTTGAAATCTAGAATGTGCTAAAATTCAAACGTATTTTTAAAATTTTTTCAGCAAGTTCATGTTACAGAAAAGCTTCATCTAAACCTATAGTGATGATGTTTCTTTGTAGTTTTCTCTCCAGAACCACTGATGTGTTTGATGACAGGGACTGCCCCAGACCCTGCCGGGGGTGCTGACTAATACACAAATACAGCGTGCATAACAGAATCTTTTCTAAACTCGCGAAAATTCCAAAATCAAAAACATACCTTGTTTGGAGGATTTTGCATAATGAGTTGGAGTTCCGAACCGCAGTGCTGCCTGTCTCCTGTTTGCTGAGACAGAGACCTAGCTCCCCACCAAGCTTCCATGGCCGGTGCGTTGCTGAGGCCTCGTGCCCACACCCATCCCCATGTCTGTTTCTCTCTCTAGAATGTTGGATGATTTCTCCCACGAGCTGGAGAGCACTCAGTCTCGGCTGGACAATGTGATGAAGAAACTTGCAAAAGTGTCTCACATGACCAGTGGTATGTATGACATTTAAATCTTAAGAATTCTTTTTTTTTTTTCTTTCGTAAGAGAGACTGTTGCTTTAGGGCCCTTGTGCTTGCCAGAGAGACAGAAAAAGAGAGAGAGAAAATAAATCACCTCCCGGGAGGATGGCCACACCATAATCCCTTCTCCTCCATTCTCCTCTTGGGATTTTGGGCACACACACACACACACACACACACACAGCATGAGTTTAAGCTTCCAGGTCCAGGACTCAAACCACTGTCAGCTGTGTGGCAATCCAGTGCCTTAACCACCACACCACCTGCTGGCCCCAAATCTTAAGAATTCTTAAGGGCCAGCTTGGTGCAGTGGTAACAAGCAGCTCGAGCAATGCTGGGTCCATATGGAATATCCCAGGTTCAGTCTCCTGTACCAGCTGGGTGTGTGCGCCCACAGTCCTGGCTGACTGGGAAGGCCGTGGCAAGGGGGCCGTGGTGTGAGGCCCTGTGAGGCTGTGTGTATGTGTCTGCCTCTCACGCTGTCTCCCGCTGTCCTGAGCGAAATAAATGAAAGAAAGAAAAAAACTTCTGTAGAGAAAGAAAGGTGTCTTAATTCTAGAGACTGTGTCCAAGGGATTCTCTCAGGTGTGCCCCTGCAGATCCCTTTTCTCTGGTGATGCTTTGGGGTCAGAGACAGAGGCTGCTGTCAGCCTCACCTTTTGTCATGGCCTCAGCATGGGCAAGGTCTCTGTGCTCCCCCAACTAGGTTTGGTGATTTTTCTCCCAAAGTAGCAACTGTCTTTGCAATCACAACATTCTTTTGTTTAGTTACTATACAGGAAGGTACGTTTTGGTGACTCTGCATTTATGTGTGCGTGTGTGTGTGTATGCGTGAGATAGTTCAGACAGGGCCTCACTGTGTCATGATTCTCCTGCTTCAGCCTCTAGAGTTGCAGCGATTACAGGCACAGGCAATGGCCTCAGCCTTTAGGTTGGCCTGGGACTCAAACCTGGGTTCCCATGTGGTCCCAGCCTCTGAACATAAGATCTCAGCAGCGCGCACCCCCCAGCGCCTTGCTTGACATTTATTGATTACTAGGACTCCTCTCTCCTGTTTTGTGGGAAATAATGTATTTTACATCAAAGACAAGCCAGTGTTTTTCTTTACTGTCTGGGGGGCGGTGGGGGGATGTTTGAGCTACTCCTTGCGGTACTTTGAGTGTCCTGGGAATGTCAACTCGTCCCCTCCATTAGGCATCCCCGTTTCTCGGCACCTCATTCTTCTCTTGGTTTTTCGTCAGAGTTGGACCTGAATGTTAGCAGAGTTTACTTCAGTCGTTTTCCTCTCTTAGTTTTTGCTCTAGGGCACATGTGTTCATCAGAGAGAGCGAGCAAGAGAGAGAGAGAGAGAGAGAGAGAGAGAGATCACCCCCAAGGTGGGACAGCCACCCTGCAATTTCTTCTTCTCCCTCTCCTCCTGGGACTTGGGGCACATGTGCACATGCATGTTTTTCAAGCCACTGGGTTCAGGACTCAAACTACCAAGTTGGCCTGTGGGATCCAGTGCCTTAACTGCCACACCACGGGCTGGCCCTGATGTTGCCTTTTGAGGCAAGGCTTAAATGTGTGGACGTGCACGTTCACCTTTCAGTAATGTAACTTGTGGTCAAGTTACATAACAGTTCTCTAGGGCTCGTTTCTTTTTTCTTTCTTCATCCATAGGGTGTGTGTGCCTCCCGGAGAGAGACAGTGAGAAGGAAAGTGAGAAATCACCCCCCAGAGGGGATGGCCACACTGCAGTCCCTTCTCCTCCATTCTCCTCTCCGGATTTTGGGCACGCACGCACACACACTCTTGGCATGATTATCAAGCCACCAGGCCCAGGACTCAGACATGATTGACCACGCAGGATTCTAGCACCTTAACTACCATGCCAGCTACTCACCCTGGAGCCCCGTTTCTTACCTATAAATATAGGTCGATTCCCACTTCTCAAGGTTCTTGTCAAGATGAAATGAACAATAATGTGAAAGTGTTTAACAGTGCCCACTTTGCATTAGTACTTAGTAAAAAAAATGTTATTTTAAATGATAAGGCAACAGATGGCCCTGGGCAAAGGACCTATTATATCCACAGGAAAGAAACTCATTACTGGAATTACTTTCTTCATTTCCCCAGGGGCACACACCTCTATTGGCCTAGCAGGCTCTCCGTAGCCTGAGGCTGCCTGTAGGGAGCTGGCACCAACATAGTTCATCTTTCACTCACTTAAGAAAAGTTTGCACCACCAGCAGATAGCACAGTGGTTACATCGCTGGACTTTCACGTAGTCAGCCGTGGTTTGAGTCCCAGCCCCAGCAGCTTAAAACTCATGCCAGGTGTGTGTGCGTGTGTGCCCAAAATCCTGAGAGGAGAATGGCGGAAATGGAATGCGGCGTGGCCATCCCCCCAAGGGGGTGATTTCTTGCTTTCTGTCTCTCTGTCGCTGTGGCAAGTCTACACATGCCCTATAGCAAAAATCTCTCCAAAAAAAAGTTAAAAGTTTGCAGAGTCTTCTTTCTGATCCCCTCTGTTCTCGTCTCTTCTACTTTAAGGAAGAGTGTTAATAAAGTGTTATATAACCAGCTTAAACACCGGGCCTCTCACAAGTGTATGCATTAGTCCCAAAGTCAAGTGGCTACTTCAGCACCAGTTTTGTTTGGGGAAGAGCAAACGAACAAAGATGCCCTGTGTGTGTGTTTCCCGGCATTCTGGGTATGAATAATTTAGAAAAGCGCTTGCATTGTGCTAAGCGGCTCTGTGTGTATTAATAGCACTGAGGCTCACTTATGCTCTATTCTACTTTCTCCTTAAGAAAAGTTTGGGAAGCAGAGTAAGAATTTGGGTTATATTTGCTGCACCAGAAAAAGAGCCAGGAAACAGCAGTGAGCCTGCAAGGCCCACCATATCTGACAGGTTGTCTGTTTTTCCTTTCAATCCTCGTTTGCTACCAGAAGAAGCCCTGCTTAGAGGCCGCCTCCTGCTAGGGGGTGTATGCTCTGGGGTGAGGACCAGGCGGTTTGTGTCTGTCTCTGTTCTCCTGATTTGGGGCAGGTTCGTTGCTTTTTAAGTGAACACGAGTTTGATTAAGCAGCAAGGAGCCCTCAATTTCCATAGCCCTGGAGAGGCAGAACACCCTCTCTCCATGGCGGGAGGCCCTAGAGAGAAAGGAGGCAAGCTTCCACACTTAGTGTTTTGAATGTGTTAAGATCTCCCTAATTTTCTCATTCCCCTGCCAGGAGAAAGTTGTTTTCAGTAGATGCCGAGATTTCCCCCCTCACCTTCCATGTTCATTGTTCATCTGTTCTTTTTAGGGGAGGAAAGTATTTCAAGAAAGAGAAGAACCCCACTGCTTTTCTCTGCTCCCCTCTCACTCGAGGCAGGGCCTGAGTTGTGAAGCTGACTATCACTTTTCAGCTAGGGTCACAAAAGCTCTCACCGTCCTTCTGTGCAGGAAGCCTTAGAAGCAGTGCCAGGCAGAAGCCTGGGCAACAGCCCCCCAAAACCTCATTCATGGCATTATAGAGGTCACTGACCACCTCAGCGGAAAATGGCTTAAAAGAGCATTCCTGGATTATGCTGGCTTGTATGATGCGTGCTTCTCCTTGATGGCAACCTCTGCTTAATGCACTTAGAGAAATCAAAGGCGTTAGTGGTGCTAGGGGGCTGGGGTGCAGCCGATGGATCTGGGAATCTGGCTCTGTGTTGGAATCCAGTGTTGAGGGTGGCGGGATGCCTTGGGAAGAGGTCAGCACAGGAAGGATGGGTGAGGTTGGGGGAGGCTGGGCGGGAAGGAAGCAATGACTTTATCTTTTTTTTTTTTTTACCTGGAAGAATATCAGCTAATCATGTCAATGAAAGTGGTTTTAAAGAACTTTAATTTTATTTCATCATTATTATCCCAGTTTTTAAGTTTGCTACAGAGCATATGTGTTCACCAGAGAGAGACAGGGAGAGAAAGCAAGTCACCAGGTCCAGGGCCTGAACTGTGCTCAGCCGTGTGAGAATCCAGTGCCTTAACCACCACGCCACCTGCCAGACCTGAAAGTGGTTTTAAATGATCATAAACTTTCTTCCTTTTTTTTTTTAAATTAACACGCTATTTTTTAGAGCAATTATGGAGTTTTCGTTACTCTCCCCACACACACACCCTCCCCCACATCACAGAAGGGGGCTCCTTACAATTGATAACCCTACACGGACACATCCCCAAGGTTCAGGGTTTATGGCGGGGCTCACTCTTGGTGTTGTAGGTTCTGTGGGTTTCACAGGTGCCTGGCGACGTGTGTCCACCCTCATGGCATCCTCCGGGGTAGTTTCAGAGCCCTAAAAAACCCTCTGAGCCGAGCCCTGCTGGTCATTCCTCCTCCGCCGCCCTCGGCACCCCTGGTCCCTGGCGGTCTCTGTACGCGCACCTCTGCCAACACGCATACACAGACGGTCCCGGCTGACGATGCTTGGACTTGCAATGCTCTGACTTCATGATGGTGGGAAAGCGAAACACTTTGTGGGCCAGCCCCATGGCTTAGTGGTTAAGGAAAATGGCCTCATATCAGCTCCCACAGGGTCTGATCCCAGCCTCAGAGGCTTGGAAAACACCCTGGGCACATGTCCACGCGTGTCCCACACCTGAAGGGTAGATTAGAATAGAGGAGGAGGGATTGTGGCGTGACCATCCCCCCTGGGGGGTGATTTCTGTCTCTCTCTGGTGAGTACATGCACCCTCTGGCAATAAAATTTTTAAAAAAGAAAAGAAACTGTACTTTGAGTACCTATACATTGGTTCTGGTTTTCATTTTCAATACAGTAGTCAACAAGTTAACATTGATAAGTAAGCCAGGTCTTTTGGAACATTCTACTTCAGGAAAGGAGTGATAGACTTGGGACCTTTGTCCTATCCCAGAGTTGCTTAGTGACGTTCTAGCATGTCGGAGGTAGAACAAAGTGATCTCCATTAAGATACTTGAGGGATGGGCAGGTGGTGTGGTAGTTACGGTGCTGGACTCCCACATGGCTAACCGTGGTTTGAATCCCTGACCTGGCAGATTAGTTCTTCTCTCTCTCTCTGATCAAATTGAAGAAGAAGAAGAAATAAAATTAAATGAACAATTCTTTTAAAATTTTTTTAAATAAAATTAACTTAAAAGAAGAAGAAGATACTTAAGTCCAGCCTCCGTAGCGTGGTCAGTAGCATACCAAACCTCTGAGCTAGAAACTACATGCTGACCAGAGTTCAGGTCCCCAGCCAGTCAGCCCGAGAGCGTGCTAGACATGTACGGAGTACATTGGCAGCTGGAAGATTGGAGAAAGGGGATTGCAGTGCGAGCAAGCGCTGTGGAAGGTGCTTCTCTCTCGTGTATACATGTGCTTCTGTCATAATTTAAGGGAAAGAAAAAACAGAGTTGGCCTTGTAGTGTAGCAGTTAGGTGATTAGACATTGTGCAGAGGAAACTGGATCTGCCCATATGGCTGACCAAGGTCAAGTCCCAGCCCATCTGTTTGAAAAACACACCAGGTACATGTGTATGTGCCCAGGATCTTAATGGGATGGAGAATTGGAAGAAAAAGGATTGCAGTTTGACCAATCCCTGTGGGGGCAGGGCGCAGGGTGCTTTCTCTCTCCTTCCCCTGCCCCCTCTTTTACTCCCTCTCCTTTCCTTCCTTCTCTCTCTCTCTCTCTCTCTCACACACACACACACTTACACATCCTCTGGCATTAAAAAAATACTTGCTTTATTTACTATAATTTGGTAGCAGTTCTCATTTCTTGGCCAGTTCTGTTACTTTGATATCCTCGACATTTAGAATAACTAAGTATATGTTCTGCTTTATGGATAATTTTGCAATCTATTTTCCTAGATTTGGACTTTTTTTTTTTTTTTTTGCTGTCCCAGAGTTGCTTAATGACTTTCTAGCATGTCTGAGGTAGAACAAAGTGATCTCCATTGAGATACTTGAGGGACCCTCAAGTATGCTGTAGGGTGCATGTGCTAGCTAGAAAGAGACTGGAGAGTGCTTTCTTACCCCCCGAGGGCATGGCCACACGACAGTCCCTTCTCCAGTCTCCTCTTGGAATTTTGGGCATGCATACACATGCCCCTGGTATGTTTTTCAAACTGCTGGGCCAGGGACTCAAACCATGCAGTCAGCACAGGATCCAGCCACCTTAACCACCATGCCACTGGCAAGCCCAGCTCAAACCTTTTTATGATGAAATTCTCAATAGCTTTGGTGTGCTAAAACCTGTAGGCTTTCAAATAATCTTTTTTTTTGGGGGGGGGAGAGATTTTCACTATAGGGCACGTGCGCTCGCCAGACAGACAGAGAGAGACATAGAGACAGAAAGCTAGAAATCACCCCCCAGGGGGGATGGTCACGCCGCAATCCCTTCTCCTCCATTCTCCTCTCGGGATCTTGGGCACGCACACACACGCGCCCGGCGTGAGTCTCAAGCCACCGGGTCCGGGACACGAACTATGGTCGACTACGTGGGAGTCCAGTGACATAGCCATTACGCTAACTGCTGGTTCCCTCAAATAATCTTTAATGAGTCAGTTTATGCCCTCATATTTCTGCTTCACTGGAACTCACTCCTGGTGGCTGAGCGGCGTTTTCAGGGTTAGTGAACCTCTTCTGCACAGTCTGGCTCTGGCAGGCTCCAGGACTCGTCTGTGGACAGAGGGTGTGTTCTTTCTGATCCCTCTCCCCCAGGTGAGGGAGCACCCCGACGGCCGAGCATCCCATCCCCTGAGCCGGGCCCTGCTCAGTGTGTGCGAGTGTGTGTGTGTGTCGGTGTCCTTGTTTCTCACGACAGTCCTGCAGACACCCGTTATAGAGCTGGGACCACAGCCAGGCTTGTGGGCTAGAGCAGGGCTCCCCGCAGCCTGTATGGGCCCTTGTAGCTCCAGACCTTGGGGTAGACGGGAGCCCCTTTGTTTCCCATGCTTGCTGTTCCAGATCGTTGGTAGGGCAGAAGGTTTCAGAGAAGGCCTTCCGCTGTCTACAGTGAGCCAGATCCATGAACACGGCTGCCGGCCGAGTCACCTTCCTCACTGGACAGTGCTGCGTGAAGGTCATCACGCGCTCTCCCTGGAGCTTGCTTTCTCAGCCACTCATGTCCTGAAGTGGCCAGACGTAGCTTTCATCTTCCCGTCTTCCCGTAGCGCCACTGAGACGAGAGCTCGGTAGCTCGAGTGCGATGACCTGGCCGTGGTGGGAGACTAGAGCAAACAGGCCTTGATCTGTACATGGTGCCGGCACCTTTCCTGAGGTTCGCGGACCACAGCAGGAGGCGGGGAGCCACAGGTTCTAATCACAGACCCAGGCGCAGCGCGGGCCCGAGCAGAGCGGCGACCGGCACCAGACACCTAGGCAGGGTCAGGATCCTTTCTGTCCCTTTTCTGCTTCCGAGGTGTTGCCTCAAACTCCATGTAACTGTGCCCTGAGGGCCCAGAGTCCCCGAGAGCACTGACCCCTGTCCTGCCTTGCAGACCGGCGCCAGTGGTGTGCCATCGCCGTGCTCTTCGTGGTCCTCCTCATCGTGCTGGTCCTCTTCTTGGTGCTGTGACAGTGGCAGCTGCGGGTGCGAGTGTCCCCCGCACACGAGCCCGCGGTGGAGAACTGAGCCGCGCCACGTCGCCGTCTCCTCACATTCCTGTCCAGAGGCAGACGCGGCGCCCACCGTCATTTCTCTGCGTGACCCCAACTTGAGACCGCGCCTCCTCCGTCCCAGCGCTGACGGCCGGGGAGCAGAGGACAGACGACTAATTCCTGGTGCCAGCTGGCTGGGGCCGCCGCTCCTGCTCCTGTTCGGGGGGCAGCTGGTGTGCTTGGCCTCGGGGGCCTCGTGCCCCAGGAGGGACTTCGTGTCATCCCGAAACTGCGCCGACTCCCGTGTTTGCTGTCGCTCCGTCCATCCTCCCTCGGCAGCTCTTCTCTGCTGCTCAGCCCCTCCCCTGCTCGGACCACACTGCAGCCCGTCCCGAAGCACCTGCCAGGACACGGCTCGCGGGGGCCTCGCTTTTCATTGCCCAAGAGCTGATGGTCAGTGAGGACGAGGCCAGGCACAGCCTGTGACTGAAAATGCCGCGGTTCGTTTTTCAGGGATAAGTGCTGAGATAAAATCGCTTTTGCTAGGCGCTCTTTTTTTTTTTTTTTGTGGTAGGAATAACTAATGGAAAATAATGATTCTTCCTGGGGTTGAGGGCACTAACAACTTGTCGCTTTAAGTGATGGCACAGTTAAACTGCAGCAGGACCCTGCGTTGGCCCAGCTTAGGGGAGGGTGGTCGGCCTCTGCAGGGGTCGGGGCTGGAGCCTGGCACGGTCCTGGTGCCTCCTCCCAGAGGAGCATCCTGCACTCCCAGAGCGAGCCTCCAGCGACCTGATGCCGAGCAGCTCAGCAGGGTGCGTGGCCGGGAGGCGGACCGTGCTTGCTGGCTGTTAGGTCATTCCCGTGCTGTTCCAGGTTGGGGTGGGTGGGACGTGGTGAGGACGTTGATTCCATTTCCACAGACACCGTAATGACAACAAAGACTGATCGCGGGGCAGGCCAGACTTCCTGACCGTGCGTCATAGTGCGGACCAGGGGATGAACGCGGTTCTTAGTCACTAAGGTGACAGCTTGATTTCATCATCCGTCCGTTCAGGTCACGGAGCCAGTCCAAGTCGCAGTGGTAGATGCTCTAACCGCGTTCGAGTTGCTGAAATTGCTGCGACACTAAACTTTAAGCTTCTGTGACTGTGTTAGGCCTCCAGTGTGCACGTGTATATAGGATATTTTTATAACTTCCCTAATACTGAGGTAGCAGCGGGGCCCAGGAGCAGAACTCTGCGGCGAAGGCTGCTGGCTGCTCCTCGCCGTCTTTTCAGCTGGGGGGACAGCAGCGTCCACGTGGAGTTCGAGCTTCAAGTTCTCATTTCCTTCTCCATGGGTGCATTCCTCAGCACACTAATTTTTTTTTTAAAAGATCTTTTTTCTTTTCCTTGTTTTATCTGTATTTTGTGGGATTAGTTCCCCCCCTTTTTTGTGATTTGCAATGATGCGCTTGCCCAGCTGACTTTTGAATTGCACTTTTTAATAAATATTTGTAACAATTTTTTTAAGAAGGGTATTTTATCTTCTTTAGGATCGCGATAAGTAAGGACATCTTGCCTGTTGGTGAAAGCTAAAAGCAAATTTATAAAACTGAAAGGGTGGTTGAAGTCCATGTTTACACTCAGCTCTAATGTTTGATATATAAATAAGTTATTTATTTTCAAACTGGAAAAAAATTGACTATTTCAAAGGGCTTCAGAGGTAGGGTACTAGATTATTTATGTTTTACAAAGTTTTAGGACTTAGATAGTGTAACCTTAGAACAGGGACGGTCCTTAGATTTGCATCAGAATATCGAAGTGTTTTGTTCACACTGAGCGTGACCTTGTCTGAGTACTGTAATCCACACTCCATATTACAAGAAGCACTGGCATCCTAAGGAATTGCAGGATTACCCTACTGACAAGCCATGCCAGTGTCTAGCTATTGGCAGGTTTACGGTGCCACACTGAAAGATCGAGCGTGGCAGCAGGGCCTGTTTGGAACTCACCTGGTCGTGAATGAATGAAAGAAATACTCTCTTTAGCTGAGGTAACAAGTTTTATGACCTCGAGGCTTAATTACGACAGGCTGAGCACCCCTAATCCAGAAATCCAAAGTTTAAGAACAAATTTTTTGAGGGCCAACACACCAGAAGTCGAACATTCCACACTTGGCCTCATGTGACGGGTTGAGGTCAAAATGCCACAGTGCAAAAATGTGTGACATTACCTTAGGCGACGTGTGTTAAGGACTGTTTGAAATGGAACTGGATTTCATGACTAGGCTTGGGTTCCACCCCCAAGATGATCTCACTGCGTATGCGCGAATATTCCAAAATCTAAAACCTCTGGTCCCAGGCCTGTTGGACAAGGGACGCCCCCACCTGCTTTTCATAGTGGCATGCCGACCCCACTGACGTAAGGTGTCTGCCGAACACCGAGGTGACCAGCTCAGGCTGAAGCTGGACAGGAAAGAAAAAACTGACCGACAATGCGGGATTCTCCTACAGGGCTTTCTTCCGGTCCGGTCCTCTCTCGGGCTGACTTGGCCGCACTCGGAGCCTGTTGTACCCTGGCAGGGGGGTCCCTTCAGATCCAGGGCTCACCTGAAGGGCCTGTGCTCAGGCTCCAAACGTGGCTGCCAGAGAGCGGGCCAGGGTCTGCGTGCATTCCCGAGGATACATATTTTCTCTTTGGCTGTGATGGTCCCAGGCTTTAGAGAACCAGAGTGGCCGTCCTCCATCCCCATCAGAACGGGAGGAGTATGGGAGCAACGGGGACACCCCCCACTGCCCATACGCACTTCCTGGGCACAGTTGTGGTTTTTTCGCATCATCCTTCTGCACCAGCGCTCACATTCACCGCGCTTAGAGCCCTGGCGGAGCGTGGATAGCAGGGAGGGAGCGCGATTTGTTTACTGGAAGGACGTTCCCTTCAGTGATTAGGGGGCGGGGTGGGAATGAATCATTGAAGGAGTCTGGCAGAATGTGAATCCAACCAGAAAACCAAAACCCCTTCAGCGTTTCGTCCTGGCCCCCGTGTGGACTGCGAGATCCCAGCGCTGTCTGCCCCGGGCTGCGTGGCCGAGAGAAGTCGCGGCGTGTGCGCACGTGACAAGCGTCTTCACTGGTTCAGAATTCACTCCAGAGCTGAAGGGGGATCTTGGCGACGTGCCTGGCGTTCTCTGCTTTTAGCCAGAGTTAAACAGACTGATGGGTCTGGTAGCCAACCACTTGGCACCTTCCCTCCTTCTCACCTCGTGAGATCGCGGGCTGTGAAAAGAAATCTCGGCTAACTCAACAGAAATCTGTCTCTGAAGTGCTTTACCTTCTGTAAGGGACGCTGCTGGAGCCAAGATTTTTCTCTCGGTAATTTCCCTGGCTGCAAAGTGAGACCAGAGGGACATCGATTCCCTGTCACCTTTTTAGGATTCTTTGTAGCAGCTGAAGATTGACAAGTGGAATGGCAGATCTGAGTGGCTCTTCAGCTCCGGAGACCGACCTTGGGCCGTTTGGCCTCACCTGGCACCACGAGGCGAATTTGTGAACCAAACAAACTTGGATGCTCTGGAAAGCTGCGGTTCTGAAATTTGGGGACTGTGCCACCTTTGATTCTCCTTCTTTGTCTTCCTCTCCCTGGCATTTCTTTCCTTTCTCAGTTTATTAAGAAAAAAGAATTTTTTAAAATGGTTTTTGTTTATCAAGGGTGGAGAGAAGGGGAAACCAAAGGGTTCTGGCTTCCTCGCCCTTCTGTCTCTGGGCACCAGCCAGACCACGGTCAGGGCCTGAAGACAGTGCCCCTCCCCCACCCCGACTCCTGCCAAGGCCCTCCCTGGGCATCAGGTTGTGGCTTCTGCTCCTCCCAGGGCTCTCGCTCTGGGCACAGGGACTTGTCACCTGCTGGCTGGAGAGGAGAGAGGGCCTTTCTTCAGTGTCCCCTGCCCATTCTCAGCTGCCAGCTGCAGACAGTGAGCTTACACTAGAATAACGGCCTGGTCTTGGAGGGCCCACGTTGGCCAGTCATGTAAACAGGGAGGCTGTTCTTGCTGTCTTGATGGTACCGGAAAAGTGTTTTCTAGCGTCCAATCCAGAAAACCAAGAGAAGCACAGAGCAGCCCTCAGACCCCCATAGCAACACGGTGCAACTCACTCGCTGCTCGGCCCCCAGGTGGGACTCAGCTCCAGAGTAGCTGGCGTCTCAGTTGCCATCTTTAATGGTAGGGACTTGGCATCACTTCGGGCTCGGTCCTCCTGTTGGAGTGAAACCCCAGCTCGCCCGACACACGTGGACTCATCTGGCCTGCTGCGCTCTGGACTTGGTGTCACAAGCACGCGCTTAAGGGGCTCGAGGCTGAAGGGGCTCCCAGCTGACCTGAACAACACGGCCGAGGGAGACAGTAGCTTAGCGGCTCACTCCTGGCCACAGACGGTGCGATGGGATTCGCCTCTTGGATAAACACAAGTTCTGAAATGCACGCTTACTGGGTCAGGCTGCTATGGTCTAGGCCTGACCGGGAGTTCTTCATGATCTTGTAGCTTCTTTGATTAGATCCGGAGGTCAGGGACGAGGGGGAGAGAGAACTCGGCTTCCCTCTGCCGTCAGCTGACACCGGGCCGTGTTCCTTCTGATGTGACCTGGGTCCAGAATGCCCTTCCCATGGCTGTGTAGACAGCGGTGCCCGTCCCAGTTGCCTGCCGTGCTGCTTGGGTTTCATGTCAACCCTTCACAGAACCAGCTTGCCCGCCGCAGCCAGACCCTTGTGACAAAGTGTTTTACCGTTTATTTTTAAGGTGATATGCCAGGGACCACTTGGTTATCCGGGGAGTGTTAGAAATAAGAGCGCCCAGCCTCATGGATTGTGGATCAGAGCCCACGGGCCTGTCCCCTGGCCTGGCCGGCCATCTGGCGCTCTGCCCCAGTGGAGCCTTCTGTCAGCCTTGGCAAGGAACCCTGCTCAGGGCTGTCCCTGCCTGCACCGCACAGAGCGCACGTTCACCGAGAACGACACGTGTGACCCCGCAGCTGAGGTTCGGCCTGGGGAGGCAGATGTCTTAGTCCTCGGGGGTGGAGTACCTGCGCCCGGTCCCTCGTGTGGGCGGAGGGAGGAAGGCCAGGTGTCCCTGAAGAGGCGTCTGGAGCTGTCTTGAAGCCCGTGTATCTCCTAAAAGGCCTCCGTGGGCACACCGATGGGCAGACGTCAGAGCACGGCCCAGCCTGGGAGGGGGGCCTGGGAGCCACCCAGGACAGCAGACGGGGAGGGCACCAGCTTCGGAAGGGGACGTGTTCCCACGGCTGCGTGTGACCAGAAACGCGTACCTCCCGGCCGTGGAACACGTGCCATCAGAAGGGACCACTGGGACTTTCCCGGGGGTAAAGAACCTTACTTATTTTAATTTGACTTGACTAGAAGGCACAAACTGAAGAAGTGGGTCAGGGATTAGAATCGCAGATGCTGGGGTGATTTCCAGATGGCGCTTCCCCCTCGACAGTGTGAGACAGTCAAGGCCCAGAGCGAGCCCCGGCGCAGAAGTCCCAGCCCTGGGCCGCAGGTAGATTGTCCCAGGTGCGCAGTGGGCCCTGCACGGGCCACAGAGTCACCTGGAATCTTGTTAGAAATGCAGGTTCTCAGGGCTCCCAAGGCCTGCCGAGTAGCTCACCCCGGTGAGGCCAGCTGTGTTTAAGCAAACCCTCTGGGTTACGACACACATGCCAGGCCAGGAGCCACCCCTGCGGCATCGTGCACGCAGCTGCGAGCCGGCCCTGCAGAGCTACGGCACCCGTGGCTTTGACGGTAGTCCTGACGTGGACGAAGGTTTGATAACACTATAAACTTGAAAACTTGCAAGAATTAATTACTTGTGTAAAACAGAAAAATAGTAGCCATCTTTAAAAGTGACATTTTTACACCCTGAAGTCTGTCAGCCGTGTTTCTTCCTTCTAAAATCGTGTATCAGCTGTATAAAGAACACTGTTCAGTATTAAAGAGAAATGGAAAGACCGAGCACTGTGTCCTGGGTGGGTGGTTTGGTCGTGTCGCGTTTTGTGTTTAGTTCTTTGCATCCCCAGGCACAGCCCCGTCCCCCTCCCCACCCCAGTAAACACACACGTGCACCTGCTCGGGGAGGAGAGCTCAGGACTGCTGGGTGAGCTGAATTATAAATTGCACCTTCCCTGGATGAGAAAATTAATATGAACTTTTAACCACCACAGCCCCGTACCGTGTGTTCAGAACAGTCCACAGCATGGTCTCTGCTGGGACACGGGGTCTGGGGGGGCAAGCGGAGAAAGGAAGCTGGTCCTTCATTCTCCGTGCACAGAAGGGCAGGCAGCAGGAACTCTGGCCTTGGTCAGGAACTCTGAGCCTGCCTTCAATTCTGGGGGAAAAGGTGATGAGCCCCGTGAGCTCCCTCGGGGCAGAGGTCTTCATCCTCACTACCACTGAGCATGGCTGAGCACATGACTCATGTAATGTTAAAGAGCGCTATGAAACGTGAAGCTTAACCACCCATTACAGATCTAGGTGAGGAAATGGCCCCAGAGGGGTCACTCAGAGCCCCTGCTGTCCCAGGGCCCAGCCCCAAGGTGACAGGTCAGCACTGAGGGCTCTGCTCATGTCACGTGATGGGCAGCTGAGGACAGGCACAGGCCAGGTGGCCTCGCCTCCCGGGGTGGGAGGATGCTTATTTTGAGAGTTAGGGGTGTGCCCTGAGAAAAGTTGCCCCTCCACCCCAGGGAGAAGCGTAGCCTGAGGCTTTGGCAGCTGCAGGGCCGCAGGGTCTCCCCCAGTGCCTGGCGTGCCCTGGCTCATCCACAAGAAAGTGTGATGGGCCGTCATTGGGAACGCCCCCATCGGCCACCCGTCTGCATAAAACTGACAGTGACAGTGGGAAAAGGCAAGGCCTGAGGCAAAGTGAAACAGGAGGGGCAGGCCTGTCCGCGCTGCCGCAGGAGGTCACGGCAGGACACATCTCACAGCAGGACAAGCCTGAGCACCGGGATTGGGTCTCTGGAAAGGGACCTCCCGCCAAGGTGCGGGAGCACTGGAGTGGCCCCTGTTGGGCCGGGGCAGGTGCAGCCTCCCACCTGTGAGTTCCCGGAGGGGCGTCCTCTCTCTCCCGAACACACGCCTTAGACGTTTCCTGTCGTCAGGAGAGCGCACGTGCAGACCAGCTGCCAGGGCAGGGCACCAGTGCTGCCAGGAGCCAGGCGGCCCCGTCTGAACGGCAGTGATCCTTCTGGCCCGCGAGTGATGAGACTGCCGTGCGGGCAGGGCTGGGACCAGGGCTGAGGTGGGGTATTGTCTTCACGCTCACACCCCAGGATGGAGATACTGTTGAAGCTCATTTTACACCTGAAAATGGAGGCATGGAGTAAAAATATTTGCCCAGGGGCAAGCGGTTAAGCTTGGTCTAGAACCCAGGGCTAGCTGGACCACCGAGGCCTCCCTTTCTCGACGCCATTCTGATTTCAGTGCTGGCAAGCACAGGTTTCACCAGGCTGGCCCTCTACCCTGAGCCATGGCGAGTGACCAAGGACAGGGCAGAGGGATCGCAGTAGCGGCCCCTGGATCGGCTGGTGGTGGGTAAGGCACTGGCCTTCTATGAGGGCCTGAGCTAAGCCGGGAGCACCTGCCTTGGACTTGACTGGCTCCTGCCCATGAAGCCCACAGTAGAGTTCAAGAAAGCTGCTGGTCCAGGATCTCGGGCAGGTCGGCCTTGCCGATATAATGTTTTGGAGCCTTTGTTTATTTGGCTGGAAATACGCAGAAAGTGAGTGCGCCAAACCCCTTATCATATAAACCCAGAGAAGCCTGGAGACGAGCCCAGGGTGAGCCTCGACGTTGCAGCATCTGAGTGCAGCTGTGAGCTCATGTGACCACCTGCGTCCAGATCCTGAGTTTAGCCGCAGAGCTAGACGGGGGCGGGCGCTCAGCCATGGGGCCGGGATGGGCGCTCCTGGGAAGCCTTCCTGCTCCATGCAGTGGGGCATCCTGCCGCGGGGCCTCCACTGTAGGTAGCCCTTGGCATGATGGCTTGTCTCTCTCACAGCTGTAGCCGTCTCTGGCCTGGGGATACAGGCATCCCCAGGGCAGCGTGGGCCTCCCTCCAGTGCCTGGCACCTGGCCAGGCCCCAACGGGCAGCTCCGTGCTGTGCATAGAGGCCTGGGCCCAGATTGCAGAAGGACGAGACAAAGGCAGGCCCGGCAGGCAGTCCACATCCGCAGGAGCCCGGACTCTCTCCAGGACTGGCAGGGCAGCTGTTGAGCCCTGGCTGCACAGGCACGGTACCAGAGCCAACTCCTGCAGCCCCCTTCCTTGGGGCCCAGCTATCAGACCTGGGCAACCACAGCCGAGGCCTGGGCAGAGCCGCTTGCCAGGGAAAGCTGCTGCCATTTCTAGGCAGGTGCTCTGGCTCTGTAGGAAAGATGGAAAGAAACTTCACAGAGGAAGGGGGTGTGGGGGGACCTGGGGACAGCAGGGCCTTTGACTAGCTCCAGAACCAGCCTGGGATTCAGGCTGGGAAGCGGGCTAGGCAGATGGACTTGGGAGGTCCAGTCATTGCCAGGAGAGTTTGTGGGGGAGAAGCAGCTCTGTGAAGAGTCCCAGGGAGCCCCCAGTATGGGATTCTGCAGGAGCCAAGGGGAGAGGCTGCATTGGCACGCAGGTGTCGCAGGACGTGTCCCAAGACAGGCTCCCCTAATGTTTTTGAAGGCTGCCAGGGGCTCTGTGTGTGGACAGGCATTGCAGAAAAGGCATGGGAATAGTCGGACGGTGGGTGAAAATGTGTGCAGTTGGGCCTTGGCAGACTTGGAACCAGGTACGGCCTGCGGGGGGTCCTGCTACCCAGACACTGTTCTGGAGGGCCAGGAAGTCCACAGTCACGTCGTTGCTCTCCACGCCCGGTCATGAGGATCTTCTTGGCAACAGGGACTAGGATCAATCTTCCCTCAGGGCCCAGTCTGGGAAAATTTCGTCAGCCTTGGGCAGTGGAATGGAGGAGCAAGCAGCCCCCTGGGCCTTGGCCCCAGGAGCATTTTCTTCTGCCTCCCCCAGATAAGAGCTATAGCCACACTAAACTACAGCTCTAGACAGGAACACACAGCCATTCCCCAAACAAAACATCCTTGCCTCGTGCAAGGCAACACACTCCTATTTCTTGCTAGTCTATTGTTTTGTTTTGTTTTGTTTTTAGGTTTTTGCTACAGGGCATGAGACATCACCCCGCTGGGGGATAGTCATGCTGCAGTCCCTTCTCCACTCTCCTTTCAGGTCCCTGCATACACACACACACACACACACACACACACACACACACCCCACGTGATTTTCAAGGCACTGACTCTGGGACTTGAACAGCTGTTCACTACGTGGGAGTTCAGCACCTTAACCACTATACCACCTGCTGGCCCCCTAGTCTTCTGTTAATGCTGGTCTCACACACTAGTGGGGTTGCCTGCTCTCTCCAGAATGGCGGCTCTGACAACAATTTGCCCGTCCTTCTCTGGCCACCCCCCTAAGGGAAAATGGAGGCGAAGGTCCCAGCCCCAGTGGTCGCTGGTCCTGGGCCCTCAGCAGGGTCCTTGGTGCAGAACAGAGAGTAGGAGGGGGGCTCCAGCGAGCCGTGGAGTGTCCCAGGAGGGTGGAGGACGGAGCTTCAAATCCCACCTCCACTGTCATCTGCATTTGTGACCTTGGATAAGTGACCAGCCTGAGCCCGGGGAGGACCGCCTCCCTCGCAGGGCTGCCGCGAGGATTCAGGAGTGTGTGCTCAATGCCCCAGTAGCTCTGGGAGGGGTGCGGAGGGCAGGGCAGGGCCAAGGGATGGCCACGTTCCTAAATCCCCAGGTTCTCTGGCTTCCCAAGTTCAAGCTGTGCCTGCAGATCCTCCATCATGCCTGAGATTTGGGGACACGTAGACACCGGGCACTGAGAACTTGTTCCCCCACCTCTCATCCTGCCAGTTCACGGGGGCCTCTGGGTTGCCCCATTTCCCCTCCCAGCCCTCCAGCCAGTTCCCG